CAAGAAGCAAGGGGCTGCTTCTGCCCTCTGGAGCCTTGGTGCTGCTCTCTGGCAGAACAGTTTTGCTACTGAGTGAAGGCAATGAACTACATTACGGCATTACTTAGCAGGGCTACCAAATCTGCACCCCATGCAGAGACAGTTTCTCAGCTTCATATGGATGTATTTGATTTGCTGTTAAAACATTACTTTCTTGGAATCTCTTTTCCTCTGCGCATTTCAGAGATTTGTATTTATATTGGGGTTTGGATTTATAGTCCTCATCCTAAGCATTATACTTTGAGAAAGAGCACAAACATTACATCACTCTGTATAAACAGCTATTTTTATTTGGCAAGGAAAAGTGATGGTTTCCACTGAAAAATTAGCAGACATTTTGACCTGCTTAACTACTTAATTATCTTGATATCTTAAAAGCTGCTGCTTTACTTTTATTCCAACAAACATACCTTTAAATACCACCCTCCCCATGATCACAGTTTCCTTTAGAACTGTGGTTCAGTCCTTTCCAATGTGTGTGGGTCTTGCAGTACAAGCTGGTACTGAGATACTGAATATCAAACACTATGCCTGTGGGTTTGTGTTTGGTAGAAGAGTGAAGGGCATTTCCCAAAACAGTCAATACAGAGACTTCATGGTGTGGTCTCCAGCAGTTCCAGCTGCAGGCAGCCTCCTGCCTGGAGGAGCACCTGCTGGACCCCATGCCACTCCCAACCCTGCTGAGGGAAGTCGGTCTCACCAGCCAACCCCAGAGCAGTCCCCCTGCTATGTTTTGCAAAGTACATGGTAGGTGTTTTGCAGCCCTTGGCCTCAAGAGGATTTTGGTAGGAGCAGGAAGGCTAGCCAGCTCCACAGATGAGGCTTTTCTTCTTTAGAGCTGAAGTCAAGATGAGAGCCCAGTCGCATTGATAGCAGGGACAAAATTGTCCTTTAATGTCACCAGGTCACTTTCTCTGCATTTTTAACTTTTAAAATAAATTCAGTTATTTCAAAGTATATAGGCAATGCTGGTAGTCAACAAGAGAGCAAACACGGCCTGTTCAAGGGGCCTGTGCTCAAACTGACTGCCCTCAGATTTCTATTTGAACTTCACTGCCACCAGCAAATTCCAACGTGAAGCACACAGTGCTGGCAGACAAGATACAATTGTCATACGGACAGTATGTCTGATAAACCCTGTAACATGTTGTTTTGCATCATGAGGTTTTGACTCTTCCTCTTCATTTTATTTCATCTCCCTGAGAACTCCTAACACTTCCAAAGTCCTCAGCAGGTTTAAAAAGAAGCAGGTTGTGTCCTGGAGAAATGTCACATGTCAGAGGAAGAACGACAAGTTGTAATTGAATTTTATTGCAAACCAGGAACTGGAGGGAAATACTCCTTGACCAGACTTCCAGTCTGGCCCTGAGGGGAGGCAGAGCAAAACCCACACTCCATAGCTGTCTGCTGCCTGCCTGTCTGCATCAGGGAAGACCTGCTCAGGGCAGGAGAAGGCTCCCTCGACCCAGGGGGACCCCCAAAGTTTTGCTGGTTGCTGCCAGGGAGATGCCTCTGAAACAATCACTTGAAACAGAGCTGCCTTTTCAGATTATCCCCTTGAGTTTTGGCCACTGTATCACTCAAAGGAGAAGGCGTGGAGGGAGAGCAATGTGTGCATGCATGGATGGCCTTTGACTAAGTCCCCACAATGAGCTGGCCACCAGACTTCTTAAAACTGACGAGTTCTGCTCAGAGTAAGGCAACATGGATTTGTTCCCCTCAATTTTACCTTCCTATAAAATGTATATGTCAAGACAGTTATTACCAAGCCCTAAACCTTCACTCCTCAAAGAGAAGTACCTGGCTGCAAGGAAGCACACAGTTGTGCATTTCAGAAGGATGAAGGCCTCTTTCAGAGTCCAGTATTTGGGTACCTAAAATGTCTTTTTCACATTCCATCAAATCTGAGCAACTGGACCTGGCTCCTCTCCTCAACATACTCTCTCGATTCTCTCAAGTGGTTTTTCACTCAGCCCCATCATTTTTTCTGCACTTTTTTTCATTGGAACACTCTCTTCCCATAGCAAGGAGAACCTTGCAGTGCAACATGCTAGTCTGTCTATGAGTGCAGGTTCAAAAAAAAAAACCAAAACAAAACAAAAAAACAAAAACAAAAAACTGAGTTACTTGCATTAATTTTGATTTTTGAGCACATAACACAGTTAATCCAGGTCATCAGAGTAGTTTGCAAGAAGTAGTATCCTATGGTACCATATTCCATATGCCCCTGAGTCATCCAGCATAACTGGGTTTTAGCTGAGGGTCACGAGTCTTTGATACTCAGCAGTATCACTGTTCTAAAAGGCTGCATGGTCCTTTGTGGAGTAAAAAATCAATGCTTCTTGTCTGTGAGTCTGGTACAGCCAATAATAGGTGTTTACTTAAAACACACTTTTTCAGTAGCTGTATCTTGCAAATAGCTGTTAATTGATGAGGCTATTATATTTAGCCTATTTGTTCAGTAATCAGAAATAGGCTGGTAAATACACTCCCTGTCACTCTGTTCACAATATGCTTTTTCAGGAAAATCTTACATACTGCTGTAACCTACCTATACTTATGTATATTACTTAGCGAAGGGGGACTACATGGTGTCTTTTGTTCTTTACTTAGATAATATTAGGCTGCTCACAATGTGACCATAACATTTAATCAAACAAGTAAACTTACTTCAAATGATTTCAATTTACCTATAAATAAGGCCCATTAAACAAGTATGAGTGTAACAGCCATGGTTTTGTTCTCTAAGTGGGTGACAAAATAAACAGTCTGAGTTAGTATTCATATCAACAGCTGCTCCTGAGTCAAACAGCCAAGAATATTATTCATCACACCAACTCCCTCCAGCAATGAGGGGGGGTTTCTGGAGGCTGCTCCAGTTGTGGATTAAAAGCCTGTCCTCTCAAAATTTGTATTACCCAGAACTGTTGCGATGGTGAAGAGGTTCAGCTGCTTTTTGAGATGGTCTTTAGAAGGAAGGAATGCCACTCAACAAGAAGAAAACAAATGAGCATCAAGAGCAGAATTCTACCCAGCATAAAGGGAGAAAGGTAGGAGAACAGGCTTTTAAATGTATGTTTCTTCATAATTCCACTTCATTAAATTTTAACCTTTGTAATTATATACGGAAGGGAAGCATTCTGCTTTCTTTTTGAAAACTTCTTCAGAGGTCAACTCATTTGAACAGTTTGTCACAGTTTTCCATTTCATGCAAAGCCACTCAATCTCAGTTTCCTCAATCCTTTGGTTGGAGTTTTGTCTTATTGTTTAAAAAAAATAAAAATTTCCCTGAGAATATTACTTTTTTAAAAGAAAAACAATTTTCAGGGGAGATTGTATTTCTTTAGGCTGAATAGTTCTTCTATCAGAGAAGAGCAGAGAAGCTATTAAAATTTTTAATCTTAAAGAAAACTAGAGATAACACATTAATTCTTTTTAGTTGGCTTCATAGACTTTGTTACCAGATTCGTGTAATTAATTTACCATATAGAACAAATGAAGTTCAAAATCTGTGTAATACATTTATAACCTTAATGGGCTTAAAACTTTTATAATGATGCCCAGTATATACAGCTAAACTGGTGTTTAGCTTTCTACTGTGAAAATTGAAAATTTGTGTCAATAAGTATCCATCTGGCTGTGTTTTCTTCGCCTTGGTGTAAATGATGAAATAAGGAATGACAGGCAGGAAAAGAAACATGAAGAGACTGACAAAAAGTGAAGGAAAAGGTATACAAAGTGATAGTTACAGTGAGGTGAAAAAGAGCTGAGATTGTGTTAAACATTAGTAGGTAGAAAAAAGGGGAAGCCAAACACCCCAATATAAATAAATAAATAAATAAATAAATAACCAACCAACCAAATAAATAAATATTTTCAGATTTCACACTTCCTGTAGGTTTGGATGCACCTTGTCCCTGGCACTCAGGTGTCACTGCCTGGCCTTACTTGAAAAATCCCTCTATAACACAGGGTAGCTGTCAGGGATTTGCAAGCTACCATTTATCATCTATATTCACTTAGCTTCCAGTGGCATGGTGTGCTTGAGATAACATTTGTTTCAATATGGGAAAATTTTTTTGGTATTTTGTTGTGTTCTATCTAAAATAACCAGAGGCAGTGAAGTCCCAAAGCATATGGGTTAAATTAGTCCTGGCTGAAGTGCCATGTTGGTATTTTTCTGACTTAAACAATCATTTTATACCATAATGTAGTGCTACTGAGTAGCATATTCTATCGATCTTTAGTTTTCACAATAACACTATCTTTCTGTTAATTAAAAGAAAACCAGATCCTTCAACAATGAATATTGCTTACCAAGTGCTTAAGTACTTTCATTAAAAGATTTCATAAAGAGAGTTGCAAAAGGGACATGCTACCACATACACAAGAGGACAGCAATATATGTGTTCTCAGATGCAAACTAAACCTGTGTTCAGAATGTTTCTTTCCATGTTTGTGCTTCAGCTGAAAACAGTATTAACGTAATAAATACTCTTAACAGTGCTAAACTACTAGCACTGAAAACAATGCAGCCCAGCAGAAAAGATATTTGCTCATACAGCAGATAATGCTTCAGATTAGTCAGGTTCTTCCATTATATTTTGGCAGCAAAAGGGCAGAAAAGTTCTTTTCTCCTCTTAGATCTTTTACTTGCATCTCTATTTACAGCTGGAACCTGCAAGAATTTTTCAGGAAAACTTGATGTGGTGAGTCAGTGCCATTTACCTAAAAAACAAGGCTTGTGGAAACCTTTTGGTCTCAGCAGGCTGCACAGTGTTCATCCTTCATAAATAATGAAATGTGAATTTCCTACACATTCAACAAAATGAAGGTGTTTAAAATTGCAATTTCTTTTCCATCCCTGCAGCTCTCCCCACACATAGAAGAGGAAAAAAACGCTGTAAATTTACCTCAGCATTAGGAAAAACAGTACTTGTTCTGCATACCTGTGTGGATTTGAGACACCAGTAAGGATGCAACCGTGCTGTGAATCTGTAAATGGCTCTTGCATAAGGAGCAGCTGGTCAAACAGTACCCGTGTTTCCATGTATATCTTCATGGTTTGCATTATTCTAGCCACAGTGGTTGGAAATTTGACAGTTATTATCTCGATATCACATTTCAAGCAGCTCCATACGCCTACTAACTTCCTGATACTTTCAATGGCTACAGTAGACTTCCTGCTGGGATTCTTCATCATGCCTTGCAGTATGGTGCGCTCTGTTGAGAACTGCTGGTATTTTGGGGAGCTCTTCTGCAAGATCCACACGAGCATGGACATTATGTTGAGCACAGCTTCTATTTTCCACCTTTCCTTCATATCCATTGACCGTTACTATGCTGTGTGTGATCCTTTAAGATACAAATCCAAGATAAATACTTTTGTTATTGTAGTCATGGTGTTCATATGTTGGACAGTCCCTGCTGCTTTTGCTTTTGGGATGATCTTTCTAGACCTGAACTTGAGAGGGGCAGAAAAGATTTATAATCATGTCCATTGTGCAGGAGAATGCCTTCTCATTTTTAGTGAAACTTCAGGTATTGTGGCCTCTGTAGTATCTTTTTACATCCCTGGATTTGTTATGCTGTACATCTATAGGAAAATATACTCTGTAGCCAAGAAGCAGGCAAAATCCATTGATGCAATTAGCAAAACAAAGGTGCAATTTGAAATGAAGAATCACATTTCATTCTGCAAAGAAGGGAAAGCTGCTAAGACATTAGGCATAATAATGGGAGTGTTTCTCATCTGCTGGACTCCGTTCTTCTTCTTTACAGCTACCAATCCATTTATGAATTATGTGATACCTCCTATTCTCATCGATGCTCTGGTTTGGTTTGGCTATTTAAATTCTACACTTAACCCAATTGTTTATGCATTTTTTTACATGTGGTTTCGCAGGGCATTAAAAATTATTCTGTTTGGAAAAATTTTTCAACAGGACTCTTCCAGGTCTCATTTGTTTTCAGATTAACATGCTTTAAATGGTTGCATTCATGGCTTAGAACTTTTACCTGGAGGCTGAATTCCTGGATGTAAGATCTGAAAAGGAAGGAAACACCTATTTGTTTACCCATTTACCAAATCCAGTTCAAGCAGATAAGCAATTGTGCTTTACATCTTATTTCATTCCAGATTGGGATTTGTATGTGATGTTTTGATTAGATCTATTTATTTTCAATGTGCAGAAGAGCAAGACTTACGCTTAAAAAAACTTAAAACAGTTTACATACCTGATCTTAATCATTAAAAAACTATTCTGATACAAAGATTAATTTCTTGAACAAGGTGATTTATATTACAATATTTGTGTTTATTTGTTGTCCTCTACAAAGAATAGAAAAACCTTTTCCTTTGAATTTCTTTACATCTCTGAGCAATTACCCAAAGCTCGTTAAGTTTTTTCCTTCCTCTTCAATATTTGTGCAGAGTTCTAAACAGACCAATAACCAGCTATACCAGCACATTCAATGGAGGGAAGATGAGACAGAGAAAAATTGTGCTGTTCTATCTGTTTTCATTTCAACTAGTGCTTGTCACTTATGAGTTTGTCACTTAAAGGCTTTGCTGCTTAATGAGATCAAAAGCATGTTTAACGAGATCAAAGACAAGGAAAAATATGATGTACAAAATGAAAAGCAATTGCAAAAAAGCTGCATTGAACCTGAGAATGCCAGAAAATTGTATTTATCTAATGAATGTTTAGATGTAAAATATTTACCAATTCACGTCTCAGGGAACTTTTTTTAGCTTGGAGATATTGTTATCTTGTCTGATGGCAATGCTGTGACAGCTTTTGAGGAAAGCATATAGAGAATTGTGAAGAAATCTTGTTGTTGAACTCAGTTGGATTATGAAGGACCAGTAGTGGCAATGAACAGGAAAGGATTAGTATCTGAGAAGTGACTATGGAGAGAAATTGGTGACTGTACTGAAGTAAGAACTACATTCAGCAGTATGCCCTTCGTTTATGTTCATTGTGTAAGTGCACATCATATGTGTATGTTGTCTTTATTTTCTGTAATTTGTAGAGCACTGAAACACTCTATGCTGTGAAGCATAAAAGTTGAAAGATGATACGTTTCTGCAGCATGAAATATCAGGATCTGAGATTGTCTCTCTTACTGTTTCATTGCCATCTTGTAAAGTTTGTACTCTCCAAAATGACATAAAAAGGAACAAAAATAAAGTAATTCTCTTCTTCATTCATCTCCAGTGAGTCTGGTCTGATGTAGTAATTTTCTCATGCTCAGTGTTACCTTCTGAAATAAAATGTGGGATCACTTGGACGCCTTGATCTCACTTAAAATAACAGTTTCAGAAGTGCTGCCAGGTGATACTTCCTTTCTTCTGGTGATACTATAGATTGAAGAAAAGATAGATTGTCTATGAAAAATGTTGCATATCTGAGACTTTTTAATGTGTATTTAGTAAGTTCAGCACATATTGACATAGTCCCTTCAGGAAGTCAATGAAGTCCTTTCTTTCCCTTCATCCGTTGTCTTTCTCCCTGAAAATCTGGGAACATTACTGTGTTTCCAGAGAATTCCAGCTCTACCAGAGTTCACAACTGATCACACTATCACTTATTCTGGTATCTCTCTGGCATTTTTTGTGGTTGTAGGAGAAGTTTGCGAGTGAATGCGATCCCAACTTGCTTGTGGGATAGATGGTAGTTCAAATAGAGCATGTCTCTGCAGTCTGTGCCTAGACCCTAGTGCAAAGCTAATTAGAAAACCATAGAAACCAGAACCACACTCCTAAAGTCATAAAAATTGTGGGTTAGATAAAGACAATTTAATAGGCAAAGCAAATTAAGGAATTCATCACTACTTCCTATCTGCAAGCACATCTTCAGCCATTTCGAAGAAAGCAGGGATGGTTACTTGGGAAGACAAACACTCTAACTCTCAACATCCCAGTTTCTCCTTCTCGTAAGGTTTTATTGCTGAGCATAACATCATATGGGTGTGGAGTATCTCTTTGGTCAGCTGGGGTCCCAACCTCTTGTGCACCCCCAGGCTATGCGCAGAGAAGACCTTAGGACTGTGTAAGCAGTGCTCAGTCTTAGCTAAAATGGGAGTTGCATGTGTGTTTTATTAACACTGTTTTTCATCACAAATCCCAAACATAACACCAAACAAACTACTATAAATAAAATTAACCGTATCTCAGCCAAAACCAGTAAAGAAGGCATCCAAACGTTGTGGCTGCACAAGATCACCACAATCTATTGAGTGTAAATGGAAATAGTGGAAGAAATTTTTAGTGTATCAACGACTCTCTGGCAAGCTAGTCTACCCAAGATGTAACCAATATTTATTCTCTGCAGAATTGAGAAGGAGTTTCCACACACAGATTGCTGGTGACCTTCATCTATAGCTAAAAGACAGGACTCCTTGTTCTTAACAACCTACAACATTAGCCAGCTTTGTGCACAGCCCAGCTCAGAAAGTTTCAGAAATAACTTTTTCCTCTAGTGTCCTATTACCTAGAGGTGGCACTTTCCCAAAGAACCTCCTTGCTTTCTATTTACAGAGAACCTTCTCTAGCAGAGGGACCGTAATGAAGTCCCAGGTTACTTTGTCTCATTAGCTCTAATCGCAGACACCACAAAGCTATTTCTCACTATGAGGGGAACGGACAAATGAGATATGTTAATGAGGCCACAAGGACTCTATTTGGACCCAAGACATGGATAAATAAGGACAGCACAAGAAAAATGCTTCTTGCTGCTGTCCAATCAGATTATGAGTTAGGTCTGGTGAAACAGAATACACTGCACTGGGATTTCAAAGTATCATAATGCAAATGATGCACAAATGGTATTGTTAAATTCCTTATTAACACATTTAATTAGTGATCTTATTAAACAATTTCCAGCTGGCTACTTTTTGCAAAACAAATTATTCCCCCATGGGTGATTTCATATATCTTAACTTCCCTGAAAACTTGTGCAAAGCAATTACTCCAGCATGATGAAAGTCTCTCTTCTGTCTGTTCATTTTGTCACCAGTGAGCACCATTTGCAATGTCACCTTCCTCTCATGCTTTGTACAAAACTGATAGCAAATTTGAGAGTCCTGAACTGCTGCCTGTATCCTGCCTTAGTCCCTGTAGCTCATGTTTTGGTGGACTACATCATGCATGGTGGTGCCACCTGTGTCCAAATCTCATAACCTCTCAGGTACCAGATGCAGGAAGACAGGGGAAGAGGAGGAACACCAAGAAAGTCCCTTCTAGAAACCTCACAGAGAAATCATCACTCTAAAATGGGAGTATTTTAAACTGCTAGATAAAAAAAATACATTAGTACAGTGTTCAAATGGAAATATTGAGCTCTCAAAATCTATAAATATTGCAAACTGTATGGCTTTCTTTAAATCATTAACTCATCTATGTCATGCACACTGTGCACTCTCTGTCCTCTACAATGCATTAATACCCGTTCAACAAGAGGGAAAATACTGGACATAGTCAAACATAAGACACAGTGTTCTACAAAAGTCTTCTGGAGATTTTCTGCTCATCTTCATTATCTACTACTTCCATGCTACTGCATTGAAAGACTTGATTTGGAAAAAGACCATGTCTATCTGTAAGCACTTTTTGACTAGTCTGTTTCCATTAGACAAATTATAAAGTTTATAAACTTCTATGATGAAATGACTGGCCTGATAGACAAGAGAACAGTGGTTATTGTCTACCTAGACTTCAGTAGGGCTTTTAACACTGTCTCTCATAAGATTTTCACAAGGAAGGTAATGAATTATGGGGCTGGATGAGAAGACTATGAAGTAGATTGAAAACAGGCTGAATGGAGCAGATTGAAAACTGGCCAGGCCCCTAGGGTGCTGCTGATCATTGGCAAAAAGTCCAGTTGGAGGCCATCAAATAGTGGTGTGCCCTAAGGTCAATACTCAGTCCAATCCTCTTCAACACCTTCATTAATGATCTGGATGATAGGGTAGAATGTACCTTTTCAACTTTAACCATTCCATGATTCTGTGATTCTATGATATTTTATTCCTTTGATATTTACTGTCTTGCATAATTTTACATGGTCTTGCATAACCAGCTACATTTAATTTCCTACTTTGTGGGATTTTTAGTAAGTTCTTTTCCTCTTCATACTGCACCTTAAATCCAACCAGCTGCATGGGTAATTGAAAATGTTTCTATGAAATGATTATGCAACAGTGTTTGTAAAACAGATTAATTTCTTAAGAGACTCAATCCACAGCATAACTTGGACAATGAGAACTCCACAGCCCACTCCTAAATGTATCGACTTCTTATTTCCCATAGGTATAGGAAAAGTAATTTTCCTCCAACACTGAGTACTCACAGCATATTGACTAAAACGTATCTGTCAGTTAGAGAGGGATTGCTGAAAACAGAGTGCATCCTATACCCTTTGGACTTTCTCAGTTACCAATGGGATCAAACAATTCATTGAGAAAGCTTGAGTTTGTCTTTTGCTCTCTATTGTTTTTTTATCGAAGGAAGCCCAGAGTAATAAAAGCAGTTAGTAATAAGTAACCAAATAGTTCTCTTCAATTAATATTTAAGCCCAACATGGAAATTATGAGGTACAACATGACTTGTCACATGACTAAGTCACCAAAAGAGCTCCCCTGTATGTGAGGGTAGATAATTAATAGAACAAATAAAAATAATGGTGGTGTCAATATAGGCACTTGGCTTTGTTTATCTCCAGTTGATGTAAACCCCTAAATTGCATACATATGTTTAGCTCAAAATCTACTGGGAATAAAATGTAATATCATAAAAGAAAAATAAATTCCCACCTTTCATGAATCAGAGCCAAGTTACAGAGGGGATCTGTCTGTTATCAAGATTGCAATTTTGCAGGACAATAACAGAACAGAAAAATGTCTACTTAGAGAATTTATTTATGGTACAATTAAAAGAGATGCTGGAAGGATTAGCCTATAAGACTGACTGCCAAGA